GTAGCTAACCCTTACCAGCCCCATTGGGGTCTCTTTCCTTCTGTCAGCTGTCTCTCCAGGCTGTCACAAGGTCTTTCCCTTGTTGCCAGCAGCACTATTCACCGCAGTCACTGGACGTATCCAGATCTTCATGATTTCCATTACACGAGAGTAGATGTTAAAACTTCATGCTGATTTGTACTCGGCTTTCGCCAAGATAAGCAACGACGTTGCTTTACAGTAAACTATGCTTCTCCATCCATTTAAGCTTCTTTCCATATGGTGGTGTGACTCCCCTTTTGTCCGGCGTTAACGGTTGCAGTGTACTTGGCGCGTCAGCACACACGACGGCTGCAACTAGAGTGTGGTCTCCCTGGTGGACCAGCACGACAACCGTCTGGATTGAGCCGAGTAGGGGACATCTCTAGGGTCTTCAAGTGGGCACCTTCCGTCCTCAGTGTTTCGTCGACTAGCCCACGACACCTCAAGAGGGCTCGACAGTGACTCTGGCGTCCCAGAGTCACCCCCCCTCCGTCCCCCACTCAACTCAGCCCAGCTTACTGACCTCTACATCCCTCCTGCTGCTGAGACCTAACCACAATCTCTCCGCAACCCAACCATACGCGCTAACCCGTTTGACTAAGGCTGTCGAGCCCAACTGGTGCGTTAAAGCAGTTTCAGTGGCAACGGTTCTGTATGGCATACCGCCTACTGCGAAACACAATATCTGCCCAACCACCCGTCATTCACGCAATATCCACAGGAACGTATACAAATAAATCAACAGCCTCTTCAAGTTTTCAAGAATTCTATGAAACCGTAGCGTGGCGGCCTGTACACAGCCAGCTAGAATCTTTCCGTCTCAACCACAGCCAGTGGCTGCTCCTTTCTGCTGCTTCAGATAAGTTCTTTACTGTGCGACGCAACTCTTGGCCGCTGAATCCGACGTCTCTGAGGAACCGGGTTGTAGAGTATGCCACAAAACCTCGACAACCCACTTCCACTGGATAAACCTGGACTCTCCATCCTCGCTGTTCTGCTTCAGTGGCCAGATGAGCATACCGCAGTTTCTTCCTCTCATATGCCTCATCTACCGCATCCTCCCATGGCACTGTTAACTCTATCAGTTGAACAATGCGTGCTGATCCAGACCACAAAACAATGTCTGGTCGTAGGTTAGTGGTGGCAATCTCAGGTGGAAAAATAAGCCGTTGATCAGCCAGCATCTTCCAGTCCCTAGCAGCTTCCAGTTGTCCTGGGCGAGAATTGGTGTTAACACCTTTTCTTCGTGGTTGCTCGCCTGGGCGGAGGAATATTGTCTTCTGCGTGTAATGTTTTGCTAGAACAGGCGGCAACTTATTGGTCATACTACGCTTGCCTTCCAATGCTAAAGCCAAACATTGCAGTACTTGGTCATGGCGCCAAGTAAACCGACCTTAGCTAAGAGCCACCTTACATCCTGTCAAAATGTGCCTTAATGTGGCAGGTGATGAACACAAAGGACAAGTTCTGCGGTGACGGTGTGGTGATATATTTGTTAAATACCAATCATAAGAGCTGTGAAAAATAAACAATTAATCTAGGAATATATGACATAAATGCACTTAGATTATAATCTTGTACAGCAGTTGTCGTTCACATTATGACTATTAACAAGAGGATGACAAAACTAACAATTGCTACAATAAAAATATGATATTTGATAAACAGATCTCACTTTTTTCTGTTATTAAATCAGGGTTCACTTGAAAATTCACAAGTATCCTCCTTGAACTCATTTTAACAACTTAGGGACTGTTCGGTATTTATGGAATGGACCACCGGAGGAAAATAGGGGAGGGTCATGCCTTTTTATTCTTTGTTGAGGTTAGGGTCATCCAACTTTTTTTAGTCTAGAGGGAGGGTCACCCAACTTTTATATGCATGATAACAGCAAACTCTCAAAGTGGCTTGTTTAATGCATATTTTCCATGTAGCTTTCTCAGTCTCTACCCCCCCATCATGGGCAGATGGTCTGACCCAACAAAAATCAGACGCGTCGTGAAAGATCAGGGGTCTCATTTATAAAACTGTGCGTAGGATCCTTACTAAAACTGTACGTGCGCCCGAAAGCCAAAAATGGCGTACGCTAAAAAAAAATTCAGACTTATAAAACCGTTCGTACGCCAGAACCTGCGCAGAATTCACTTTATAAATCCCAGTCAGCGGAAGAATGTGCGCACATGCGTCTCCTCCCCGAAACAATCATATATGGAGCTCACAACGTCTAGTTTTACTATGCATATCCTCATCTGCATATCATTTGCATATGATTATTCATCCACGTGATACCATGTTTAACGATACAAGATATTAGGAAAATATGAAATACGCATGTGCTGTCAAATATTAGGCAACAGTAATAAAAATCATAAGCCTATCCTTGCCTTGCTTTTGAATAAATAAATCAAATAGTGTAAAATACATTTCAGAGAAAGTTTCTCAATCTCACTGGCCAAATAGTATTTTTAATTGATTATATTTTTAATGGAAACAGATAGATCTTGTGCATTATTTGCACGAAACTATTTTCTCAGACAATCTGCTATTATCATAAGCAATTATGTATGTAAAACATTAAAACACAGAATGCCAGAGGAAAAGTGTTCAAAAGCATTGCATCCACAACAAATATTTCTATTTATTGAATATAAAAAAATGTTGTAACTTCTCAGTAATGATTTCATGTAGTTTAAGTGTTTAACTCCATTAATGGGAGTGGCATATTTAATCTAAATGTTTATATCAAAAGTAAAACATTTTTTAAATTTAAGTTTAAATCATTATTTTATTTATTTAAAGTGTCATTGTGAACATGCACTCTATTTATAATTATGACTCATAATAAAGATTTACGGTTTTACTTCATCTGCCGTTAGATAGCCTAAATATGCGTCAGTTTCACTAAACGGCCCAATGCGCTCGCTGGCGCGGACATTGTCACAGTGTCTGGTTTATGTTCCTTTGGTCACCACTAGATGTCCTCCTTCCCCACGGTGTCCATCACACTCTTGAACTACATTCCCCATGATCCTTGTCTTTTCATTGCACTCAGCTGTCTCTTATCATTGATCATTGCACTCAGCCTGTTCCCCATTAGCATTGTCATTTCCCTGTGCATACAGTGGGTATAGAAAAGAATCACCCCCCTTTAAAATAATCCAATTTTGTTGCTTTGCAGCCTAAAATTAAGACAGACACAGTTTTTGTTTCATTCACCTGTATTTACTCAGTGCAACTTATAACATCCAAGTGAAAGATATAACACCAACATATCAGAAAAATTTCAAAAAATCAAAAAACATAATAACTGAGTTGGAAAAAGGATCACCCCCTTGTTTCAGTATTTTGTTGAACCACCTTTTGCTTTAATTACAGCCTTTAGTCTGTTGGGATATGTCTCTACTAACTTTGCACATCTAGACGTTGCAATATTTGACCACTCTTCTTTGCAGAACTGCTCAAGTTCAGTTAAATTTGATGGTGACCGTTTGTGGACTGCTGTCTTCAAGTCATTCCACAGATTTTCAATGGGGTTTAAGTCTGGGCTCTGACTAGGCCATGCAAGGACATTCACCTTTTTCTCCTTTAACCACTGTGTGGTCAGTTTTGCTGTGTGCTTTGGGTCATTGTCATGTTGGAAGGTAAATCTTCTTCCCATTGACAACTTTCTGGCAGAGAGCAGCAGATTTTCCTCAAGAATTTGACGGTATTTTGCCCCATCCATTTTTCCTTCTATCCTGACTAGTGCTCCAGTCCCTGCTGCAGAGAAACAACCCCATAACATGATATTACCACCTCCATGCTTTACTGTAGGAATGGTGTTATTTGGATGGTGAGCTGTATTGGATTTTCGCCAGACATATCGTTTGGCGTTGAGGCCAAATAATTCAATTTTAGTCTCATCTGACCATAACACCTTTTTCCACGTGGCCTTAGAATCTTCAAGGTGTGTTTTGGCAAAGCTCAGTCGTGACTGCATGTGGCCTTTCTTGAGGAGTGGCTTTTTTCTTGCAACCCTCCCATACAAGCCACATTTGTGGAGAATTTGTGATATTGTTGTCACATGCACACAATGACCACTCTTTGTCATGAATTCCTGCAACTCCTTCAGAGTTGCTGTAGGCCTCTTGGTAGCCTCTCTGACCAGTTTCCTCCTGGCTCTTTCATCCAGTTTGGAGCGACGTCCTGACCCAGGGAGGGTCTGTGTTGTACCAAATACCTTCCACTTCTTAATAATAGACTTCACTGTGCTTCTAGGCACTGATAACGCCTTTGAAAATTTTTTGTATCCATCTCCTGACTTGTGCCTGTCCACAACTTTATCCCGGAGATCTTTTTTCAATGCCTTGCCACCCATAGTTGATTGTTTTCTTCAGTTGCACTACCAAGGACTGAAATGCTTCAGGAAAAGCTTGTTTCATGCTGAGCTAATCAAAATGACCACAGCTGATCACATTTGAAAGTCAATTGGCTTTGTGTGCTATTGAGAAGGTGATTAACTACACCTGGTTGGGTTTACAAGTCATTTTTAGGAGGGGGGTGATTCTTTTTCCAACTCAGTGATTCTGTTTTTTAATTTGTAAAAATAAAATTCTGACAAGTTGGTATTATATCTTTCACTTGGATGTTATAAGTTGTAAATACAGCTGAATAAAACAAAAATGATTTTTGTCCGTTTTCATTTCAGGCTGCAAAGCAACAAAATGTGATTATTTTAAAGGGGGGTGATTCTTTTCTATACCCACTGTATATACCCTGTCTGTTTTAGTATGTGTTACGGAGTCCTTGTATGCATCACGCTACTTCTGTTATCCAGTTTCCTTGTTTCTTGTTTTGTTCCTGTTCATGTTGGATTGCCTTTTGGATTTTGACCCTTGCTTTGGACTGGTTTACGATTTTGGATTATCCTTAATAGAACTACTGCTTTTGGAACTTACCCTTGTTTTCCCGTGTGTGGATCGTGACAGAAGGACTCCGTCATGAATAGTTCCAGCAGTAGGGGGTTCTGGTCCTCTTCCCCAGCCACCGTAGGGGAGAGGTCGCAATCTGGAGAAGTGCCACCGTGTATGAACATTTTCGAATGTTTTGCTCTGTGGGCTCGTATCACGGAGGAGACCGCGGTGAGAAAGTTACCCGAGATCCCTTCCTTAGAGAGAAGGGAATCATTCGAGGGAACTCGTCTGGCCAGGTTTTCGGGGACCCGCGGAGGTCGCAGGAGAGGAGGTGCCAGAGGTGAATCCCGGAACAACTCTCCGCTTCGATCACTCCTCGACCCTGGGCTGGTGATGTCCAGTCCAGAACTCCATCCGCCGTTGATCTCATCCAGCACGGAATCAGCACATCGCCGTCAGAGATGGCGGATGAGGGGTAAGACCTCCAGCCTCCTCAAGTGCCCGGAGACCGTACCAGAGACTGTTCACGTCAGCCACACCGAGCTTGCGCTTCACGTCACGTCTGCCCAGCCAGAAACTGTTCACGTCACGTCTGCCCAGCCAGAGACCGTTCACGTCACGTCTTCACAGCCAGAGACCGTTCACGTCACGTCTGCCCAGCCAGAGACCGTTCACGTCACGTCTGCCCAGCCAGAGACTGTTCGAGTCCCGTCTGCCCAGCCAGAGACTGTTCGAGTCCCGTCTGCCCAGCCAGAGACTGTTCGAGTCCCGTCTGCCCAGCCAGAGACTGTTCGAGTCCCGTCTGCCCAGCCAGAGACGGCTCACGTTTCGTCTGCCCAGCCAGTGACTGTTTACGTCCCGTCTGACCAGTCAGAAACGGATCTGGATATACCCATTATCTCAATCGGGGGCATACTAAGTGACTATTTGGAGCGTTTAGCTCGAATCCTGGACGTGCCTGTCTCGCCTGTTGCAGCGCCGGAGCCAGTGTCTGCTGTTCCAGAGCCGGAGCCAGTGTCTGCTGTTCCAGAGCCGGAGCCAGTGTCTGCTGTTCCAGAGCCGGAGCCAGTGTCTGCTGTTCCAGAGCCGGAGCCAGTGTCTGCTGTTCCAGAGCCGGAGCCAGTGTCTGCTGTTCCAGAGCCGGAGCCAGTGTCTGCTGTTCCAGAGCCGGAGCCAGTGTCTGCTGTTCCAGAGCCGGAGCCAGTGTCTGCTGTTCCAGAGCCGGAGCCAGTGTCTGCTGTTCCAGAGCCGGAGCCAGTGTCTGCTGTTCCAGAGCCGGAGCCAGTGTCTGCTGTTCCAGAGCCGGAGCCAGTGTCTGCTGTTCCAGAGCCGGAGCCAGTGTCTGCTGTTCCAGAGCCGGAGCCAGTGTCTGCTGTTCCAGAGCCGGAGCCAGTGTCTGCTGTTCCAGAGCCGGAGCCAGTGTCTGCTGTTCCAGAGCCGGAGCCAGTGTCTGCTGTTCCAGAGCCGGAGCCAGTGTCTGCTGTTCCAGAGCCGGAGCCAGTGTCTGCTGTTCCAGAGCCGGAGCCAGTGTCTGCTGTTCCAGAGCCGGAGCCAGTGTCTGCTGTTCCAGAGCCGGAGCCAGTGTCTGCTGTTCCAGAGCCGGAGCCAGTGTCTGCTGTTCCAGAGCCGGAGCCAGTGTCTGCTGTTCCAGAGCCGGAGCCAGTGTCGTCTGTTCCAGAGCCGGAGCCAGTGTCGTCTGTTCCAGAGCCAGTGCCTGTGTTTGTTTCTGTGTTTTTGTCTGTTCTTGTGACTGTTCCTGAGCCGGTGTCTGCTGTTCCTGAGCCGGTGTCTGCTGTTCCTGCGCCTGAGCTACCGCCCTGGCCGCCCGAGGGGTCTTCACCGCCCGAGGGGTCTTCACCGCCCTGGGGTCTTCACCGCCCTGGGGTCTTCACCGCCCAGGGGTCTTCACCGCCGTGGCCGCCTGAAGGGTCTTCACCGCCGTGGCCGCCCGAGGGAGAGTCTCCGCCCTGGCCGCCCGAGGGAGAGTCTCCGCCCTGGCCGCCCGAGGGAGAGTCTCCGCCCTGGCCGCCCGAGGGAGAGTCTCCGCCCTGGCCGCCCGAGGGAGAGTCTCCGCCCTGGCCGCCCGAGGGAGAGTCTCCGCCCTGGCCGCCCGAGGGAGAGTCTCCGCCCTGGCCGCCCGAGGGAGAGTCTCCGCCCTGGCCGCCCGAGGGAGAGTCTCCGCCCTGGCCGCCAGATGAACTGTCACTCCCTGTCCCCGTTTCCCTCCATGGACCTGGCCCCCCATCCCTCCCCCTGATCCTCCACCAGTCCACCTCCCGCCTGGACACTTGTTTGTCTGTCACGTCTTGGAGCGTCTGGTAGCCACTCCGTAGAGGGGGGGTTATGTCACAGTGTCTGGTTTATGTTCCTTGGGTCACCACTAGATGTCCTCCTTCCCCACGGTGTCCATCACACTCTTGAACTACATTCCCCATGATCCTTGTCTTTTCATTGCACTCAGCTGTCTCTTATCATTGATCATTGCACTCAGCCTGTTCCCCATTAGCATTGTCATTTCCCTGTGTATATATACCCTGTCTGTTTTAGTATGTGTTACGGAGTCCTTGTATGCATCACGCTACTTCTGTTATCCAGTTTCCTTGTTTCTTGTTTTGTTCCTGTTCATGTTGGATTGCCTTTTGGATTTTGACCCTTGCTTTGGACTGGTTTACGATTTTGGATTATCCTTAATAGAACTACTGCTTTTGGAACTTACCCTTGTTTTCCCGTGTGTGGATCGTGACAGACATTTAAGAAGGGATGGATATTTGCTTCAAGTGATAGGCTTGGTGAGTGAAATTATATTTGTATTATCTTTCTGTATATGTATCATTTTCTTTAGATTTTCTGTCTAAAAGTGACCAAAAAGACATTTAACTCCAACTCACCATCTGTGTCGCCAATTCCCTTTGTCTCCAGAATGTGCGTACGCACGGCTCAAAGTTTGCTTAAAGGTGCGCACATTCTCCCGTCAAGTTTGTTTTTTATAGATCACAACCTTTGCGTGGAAACTGGCGTAGGTACGTTTCCAGCCCCGTTTTGTGCGTACGCACGCTTTATAAATGAGACCCCAGGTCCAGTTTGGCGCTGTTTGACAGCGCGCGCGCGATCAGAAAAAATGCATGTCAGAACAGAACGCTGATAGAATGTGCGCTGTAGCATGATACTAGCCTAACATATTTCTTCAAAAGCAGATCGTGGAGTTATCATGTCTGAAAAAATCCGATTCGATCTTCAATTCCCGAGCTATATGGAGATTTAATGGAGTTCACGTCACCGAAAACAACAGATATGAGCTGCATTTTATTGATCATCAGCTAAAATGTCAAAATCAAAGACCGCAATAGGAGAGAGCGGCAAGTTGGCAACAGCAGATCATTTCGTTTCTTTACTTTTAATGAAGCTGATTGTGTTAAGCGTCTGTGACTTAGGCTACTTTCACTTTGATTTGCGATAGTTTGCGCGTTGGCTTGATGAATAGATGCTCATCTGCGGTGATGCGTCGTCATATCTGGCTATAACATAACATATAGCCTAACACGCTCTCACACGTTTATTTATTTATTTTTTAGCATTTTTTGGGAGGAGTAAAATTTACAAATGTGGTTTCGACATCCAGATGCATTTACTTGTCCAGTTTGGTCTGGAAAGCGGCCCGGACCTCCTCCTGAAGTGGTTTGAGTGATCGGATTTGGCTAAATTAATCAATGATTATGAGGACCTATTTTATTTTATATATGTTTTATATAGCCTATAATATATACGATTTTTTTTGTTAAAATTTCTTCATTACCAAGATATATTATTATACAAAATTCAAAAAGTAGTCAAAACACAGAACATCTAAGATTTAAAAAAAATGATGTGCTTATTTTTTTAATTAACGAAATGTCAATCGTAATCTTTATAACAGAAGATAGGCTACAACACAATACAACAATCTCTCAAGATAGGCTATAGTAAATCTTCAAATGTGTAACAGATTGTGCACTTTAAAAACAGCAATTTGCGTGGTGGAAGCTAATATATAATTATAGTTATTATCTTAATTTAATATTTGTTTTATTACTTTATTAGTTCAATAACTAGCCTAATTGTTAACTCAACAAATTAAATGTAAAGAGCTGGATATTTATTAGGCCTACTAATTAAATAATGTGAACTATAGGCCTAGTAAATGTATTTATTAGAGTTGCCAAAGCACGTTTATATTAATCTCTACTTAAATACTGGGCACATGGAGGAATATAGCCCATTCTGCACTCAAGCACATGCATAAATCTTGCCGCAAAAACAGGCTAATGATAATAAATATGTCTTAAAAAATAACGATGTATTTTAAATGTTTATTTATAAACTAGTTTTTTTTTTATAAATCAGTGTCGGCTGCAAACATGTCTCCATCTCCGCTGTAAAGTGCGCTTTTAATAGAGAGAAATGCATCTTTCATGCGGATTAATCAGATGATATTTGCTATTCGATTTATTTTTTCGTTTAAAAGTGAACATATCAAGATATAGATATTTTTTCCATATATGTGAGACAGGCTATAGCCAACGCTGTTTCTGCTTATTTTTTTTGACGCGCTTCAGTTCACGGAGACCATGAAAGCGCGCGCCCTGATTGTTTTATTTTATTTTACGAAATCAAAACGTTTTCTTGTTATTGTGATTGCACACAAATAAAAGTATTGCGACTGATGCATTATTATTTTCTGTATGGCCAGACATGGAGTATTTTAAGTTGTTTCTTTCCACTGTTGATAGGAATATGCAAGTAGGCCTACCGGTAATTGCGTCGGCGCCTCCATGTCATGCGCGCGCTCCACACTCCGCACACACAATTGGTTATGCGCCTATAATAGCGAACAATTATCTATGTTAGAGTGAGCGGCCATGCCGGACGGATAATCCTATCCTCTTCATGTTTAACCAATCAAATCATGCATGTTCTACCGCGAGTCAGCGCTGCGCCAGTTTGAGAAAGGCGGGTGTAGCCTACAGGACCCTTTATAATGAACGTTTGGTGTAGGTCTATACGCATAAATATATCTGAACATCTTTGCCAAGCGCAAATCAGGACAGAAGTAATCAATAAATTATCGGGGAGGGTCATTCCTTTTTTCACAATCATTTTGGAGGGTCAAAATGTATTGCTGGCGAGGGGAGGGTCAAGTCTATTTTGACTATAGATCTCAAAACTCCTCCGGTGGCTCCTTAAATAAATAACGAACAGTCCCTTAACATGTTTTAATGTTTCAGACCCGATGGAAATGAAAGAGCAAAGACAAGAACTGAAGGTAAAGGTGATGATGCTGTCGTTTGTTTCAGCCTGTTGACACCAATAAAACGATTTAATGTGCCAATTTACTGAAGATCTCAGACATCACCATAATGAATGAGCTGAAAACAGGGAACTTTTGGAGACAAAGAGGTTTTTCAGCTGCTCAGTTAAACATGATGTTCCTGTCCTTTATAAATGCAGATTGGATAAAAACACAGTGATCACAGTTCACACCTGCAGTGAAGCCCCTCCCACAACAATTCACCAATAAATACTGGGAATATTCCCATCATCCTACAAGAGAAGGACAAACTTCAGGAGTAGCAGCTGAAATCTGTGTGACTGTTAAAGATGGAGTTTATTAAAGAGGAGATTGAAGACATGAGTGATCCAGAACCATCCAGAATAAAACATGAAGATACTGAGGAACAAATAGGTTGGTGTCCATTCTTGATTCTTCATTGTTGACTGCTTTGGTAGATGTGAATTAATAAGCAGTATGTGGATGATAAATGATATAGAAATGCATCTAAATGATCATAACCTTGTATATAGCAGTTGTCAAACATATTTTTACTATATTAACAATTGAATGACAGAACAAAAAGTGAAAGATCTGGGGTCTCATTTATAAAACTGTGCGTAGGATCCTTACTAAAAGTGTACGTGCGTCCGAAAGCCAAAAATGGCGTACACAAACAAATATTCAGACTTATAAAACCGTGCGTACAGCAGAACCTGCGCAGAATTCACTTTATAAATCCCAGTCAGCGGAAGATTGTGCACACGCGTCTCCTCCCCGAAACAACCATATATGGAGCTTACAACGCCTAGTTTTACTATGCATATCCTCATCTGCATATCATTTGCATATGATTATTCATCCACGTGATAACATGTTTAACGGTACAAGACATTTGGAAAATATGAAATACGGATGTGCCGTCACATTAGTTAGGCTACATTAATAAAAAATAATTTAGTAGCCTATATCCTTGCCTTGTTTTTGAATAAATAAATCAAATAGTGTAAAATACATTTCAGAGAAAGTTTTTCTCAATCTTTTCCACTGGCCAAAGAGTATTTTTAATTGATTTATATTTTTAATGGAAACATATAGACCTTGTAGTGCATTATTTGCACGAAAAGACAATCTGCTATTATCATGATAAGCAATTATCTCTGTAGTTAAAACATTAAAACACAGCATGCTAGAGGAAAAGTGTTTGAAAGCATTGCATATTTCTATTTATTGAATAAAAAAAAATGTTGTAACTTCTCAGCAATGATTTCATGTAATTTAAGTGTAACTCCATTAATCAGAATGGCATATTTAATCTAAATGTTTATATCAGAAGTAAAACATAGTTTTAATTATCTAAACTGTTATTGTGAACATATTTCACAGAACACTGTATTTATGATTATAATGAAGATTTACGGTTTTAGATAGGCTGCGTCAGTTTCACTAGAGAACAAAGGGATGGACATTTAAAAAGGGATGGATGTTTGCTTCATGTGATAGGCTTGGTGAGTGAAATTATATTTGTATTATCTTTCTGTATACTATATGTATAATTTTCTTTAGATTTTCGGTCTAAAAGTGACCAAAAAGACATTTAGCTCCAGCTCACCATCGGTGTCGCCAAACTACTCCGTCTCCAAAATGTGCGTACGCACGGCTCAAAGTTTGCTTAAAGGTGCGCACATTCTCCCGTCAAGTTTGTTTTTTATAGATCACAACCGAAACTGGCGTACGTACGTTTCCAGCCCCGTTTTGTGCGTACGCACGCTTTATAAATGAGACCCCTGATCTCTTTTGCTTTCTGCTATTAAATAAGGGTTCACTTGAACTGATTCTAACTGTATTTCTGTGTATTTTAGACCAGGTGAGAGTGAAAGAGCAAAGACAAGAACTCAATGAAGTGGAGGAGGAACATCGTAACTTTACAATTCAAAGAACAAAAGCCAAAAAGACGCACACCTGCACTCAGTGTGGAAAGAGTTATTCTCATGCATCAGGTCTCAGTCGTCATATGCGCACACATCAGTGTGGTAAAAAGTTAATTTCACCATCACATCTAAAAAAACACCTGAAAGTTCATTTAGATGAGAGGCATTATGTGTGTTCTCTCTGTGGGAAGAGCTTTACTACATCTGAATATCTGAAACTGCACCAAAGAATTCATACTGGAGAAAAACCTTACAAGTGCTCATATTGTGACAAGAGTTTCACTCAGTCCGGAACCCTGAAATCACACGAGCGAGTTCATACTGGAGAGAAGCCGTACGACTGTACTCAGTGTGAGAAGAGTTATTCCAATGCATCAGGTCTCAAGTATCATCTGCGCATTCACTCTGGAGAAAAACCATTTAACTGTGATCAGTGTGCTAACGATTTTATTTCATCATCAAATCTAAAAAATCACCTGAAAGTTCATTCAGATGAGAAGCCTTATGTGTGTTCTCTCTGTGGAAAGAGTTTTTCATGGCTGGACAGTTTTAAACGGCACCAGAAAACACATAATGAAGTGAGAGATCATGTGTGTTGTGACTGTGGGAAGAGCTTTACTACATCTGATAATCTGAAACAGCACCAAAGAATTCATACTGGAGAAAAACCTCACAAGTGCTCATATTGTGACAAGAGTTTCACTCCTTCTGGATCTCTGAAATCACACGAGCGAGTTCACACTGGAGAGAAGCCGTACGACTGTACTCAGTGTGGGAAGAGTTTCACCCAATCAAGTAATCTAGTGACTCATATTAGAAAGCATTGTTCTGTGTCACAGTGAGCAAATGTTTTGTTAGATTCACATGAAGTAAATGTGTAGTTACTTAACTAATAAACTAGTGTTGCTGTGAATGCAGGGCCGGCTCTAACCCTTTGGTTGCCCTAGGCGATATTGAGTTTTGCGCCCCCCCCCAAACACCCCCCCCCCCCCCCCCCCCCCCCCCCCCAAAAAAAAAAATTATAAGTATTTATTAAACTAAACATGCTCTTATAGTTACTCAAAAACTTAAACAATAAATTGTTCATACAAATACTACAAAGACCGTTCAAGGATATTTATATCATAGTTGCATTGTACAACTATATTTTATCTGACCATAAATAACTTTTAGTAGATCAATTACAACTACTACCACCACTAGGCCTACTATTATTACAATCCATTGGTCTGCTACAAGGTTAAGGGGGTTTCGGGGGTATTTCCCCGTAAGAAAATTTCGTGCATTTTAATGTTAAATTCATCAATCTGGTGCACTTTGAGAGTTCAAAACTAAAAGCTCCAACCCATATTCAGTGTGCAAATTGAACAAAGAAACATTCAAACCTCTTTTAATTACAGTGTCTGTCTACATTACACTACTACATAATAATAGATATAATATTAATCCCATGACAGTAATTGCAATAGGCTATATTGTAAAACAAATGCACTGAAAAATAAAGGAAACTTTCATGAGTATTGTACAAATTTCTATACTTAAAAGTAAGTTATATATTTGGAAGTAACCCAGCGCCGCCAATTAAGCAAAACAAAACAAAACGAATAGGCCACCGATGTACGAGTTTTATGGGCCGTTAAGACAAAAATAGACAAATAAAAGTATGAGATCATGTATATATCGGCCCAAAAAGCACGTCGGGCCCGCGGGAATCTCCCGGTTGTCCCGATGGCCAGAATATTTGACACCTTAATGGATGAGATGAGAAGACTTACCTCTATACTGGGCTTTCTTTTTATCTAGTTGCTTTCTCCGTTTTCGTCCCTGTGCACCAGAGGGTTTAGACCGCTTCATTGTCGATCAGCGCGCGCAGCAGCCGAGCACTTGCCTAACGAGCACTTGCCCCCCCCCCCCCCCCCCCCTTTAGGCAATGATCGACAATAATCATCCATTCAATCTAATAATCAGGTTGACAAGTAATTAAACGTATGGCCGAGGGGCGCCCATGATCATGTTTAATAAACATGTTTTTGTTTCGCTTGTCATTGTAATTCTATGATTAATGGGAAGTAGGCCAAGGGCGACACTAGAGGGCGCCCGCGCCCCCAACACATTTGTCGCCCTAGGCAACCGCCTAGTTCGCCTATAGCAATCGCCGGCCCTGTGTGAATGCCACAAGTTTTGTGTTTTGTTGTTGAACAAGTTGAACAAGAAAATTATTGAAAATTATTTTAATTGAACGCTTACTCAAAGAAATAAGAAATCCCAATTTGAAAAGAGACTGGAAAGAAATGCAGAAAAACAACAACAATCAGTTATATGTTAATAAATTAAACAATTACCTGAATTTGATAATTTTTTTAATTGTAACATTTGCAAATTTGTTAACTACACTCACCGGCCACTTTATTAGGTACACCTGTCCAACTGCTCGTTAACACTTAATTTCTAAGCAGCCAATCACATGGCGGCAACTCAGTGCATTTAGGCATGTAGACATGGTCAAGACAATCTCCTGCAGTTCAAACCGAGCATCAGTATGGGGAAGAAAGGTGATTTGAGTGACTTTGAACGTGGCATGATTGTTGGTGCCAGAAGGGCTGGTCTGAGTATTTCAGAAACTGCTAATCTACTGGGATTTTCACGCACAACCATCTCTAGGGTTTACAGAGAATGGTCCGAAAAAGAAAAAACATCCAGTGAGCAGCAGTTCTGTGGGCGGAAATGCCTTGTTGATGCCAGAGGTCAGAGGAGAATGGCCAGACTGGTTCGAGCTGATAGAAGGGCAACAGTGACTCAAATAACCACCCGTTACAACCAAGGTGGGCAGAAGAGCATCTCTGAACGCACAGTACGTCGAACTTTGAGGCAGATGGGCTACAACAGCAGAAGACCCCACCGGGTACCACTCATCTCCACTACAAATAGGAAAAAGAGGCTACAATTTGCAAGAGCTCACCAAAATTGGACAGTTGAAGACTGGAAAAATGTTGCCTGGTCTGATGAGTCTCGATTTCTGTTGAGACATTCAGATGGTAGAGTCAGAATTTGGCGTAAACAGAATGAGAACATGGATCCATCATGCCTTGTTACCACTGAGCAGGCTGGTGGTGGTGGTGTAATGGTGTGGGGGATGTTTTCTTGGCACACTTTAGGCCCCTTAGTGCCAATTGGGCATCGTTTAAATGCCACGGCCTACCTGAGCATTGTTTCTGACCATGTCCATCCCTTTATGGCCACCATGTACCCATCCTCTGATGGCTACTTCCAGCAGGATAATGCACCATGGCACAAAGCTCGAATCATTTCAAATTGGTTTTCTTGAACATGACAATGAGTTCACTGTACTAAAATGGCCTCCACAGTCACCAGATCTCAATCCAATAGAGCATCTTTGGGATGTGGTGGAACGGGAGATTCGCATCATGGATGTGCAGCCGACAAATCTGCGGCAACTGTGTGATGCCATCATGTCAATATGGACCAAACTCCCTGAGGAATGCTTCCAGCACCTTGTTGAATCTATGCCACGAAGAATTGAGGCAGTTCTGAAGGCAAAAGGGGGTCCAACCCGTTACTAGCATGGGGTACCTAATAAAGTGGCCGGTGAGTGTATATCATTATACCGAAAATTCGGTATAGACATTTGGAAAAAGTTTTTGGGGCAGACCTGACCTGTTGAAAAGAGATTGTATTCATCCCTCCTGGGATGCTGCTGCTCTTCTCTCTTGTAATATGGCACATAGGGCCCTATTTTAACGATCTAAGTGCATGGTCCATGGACCCGACTATAGGCGCATATTACTAACACACGCTTTTTAAATTACAAAAAAATATTTCAGTTGCCTCAAAATAGCAACGCGCCATCAATGCGCCTGAACACACCTCGTTTTCAGACCAGCGGCGCAAATTCATTTGCTATTTAAACAACGTGGCGCTGGATGTGAAAACGATAACCGCTTCAGGCTGAAACTAACAAAAAAACACTTGCGTCGCGCCTGGCGCTGCATTGCACAGTGTGATTAGGGCACATAGTCTTAGAGTTGAACCTTGACTAACTGGGGCTCAGGTCTGGAAGCAGACAGACCGGCTAAACCGACCGTCTGTCTCACGTCACAGAAGTCAGACAAATCCCATCACATAGAGACTCTTTCAACTAGATATTATCACATTAATACTGGGTCTGTCCCCGAGATAGTAAACACAAAAAATTTCCAAACCCATTTACGGGTAAAAATGTTATTGATGTTCAACAAATTAAAAACAGATATAATTCAGATGAACAAATGACAAAGCTTGCGTTGCTGAATATTCAATCCATTTCTTCAAAAGCACTTATTGTAAATGATATGATTAGAGATCATAACCTAGATATGAAGCTCTAGCATAAGTTCTGCCGGGAAGACTCAAATCTTACGTCACTCATTACCTTCTCACCTATCCAATTGTGTTCTAATCCTTGTGGTATAAAAGATAGGTACTTACACATGTCTGAGTTCGCAGATGCTGACACTTCCATTTATGCTCTCGTTCAGTCGCCAACCTACATGTTTCAGGACACGCATATTGTTTGCGATTATCAAGTTCCGACGATGAATTCGTCCCGCCGTCTCTCCTGCTGCACGTCGCAGTTCCCGCATTTAGTGCCGCATCTCCCCATGGGCTCAGCGGTCTTCAGAGAGTTTGATCAGCCAAGGCCTCTCAAGAGAAGTCCTGCTCTTTCTTGGCCCAAAACACCCTGGGTAACCCATCAGTTTCCATTCCACATCACCAAAAGCCTCAACATCGTCAGCTCAGCCAAAATAATCCTCAACTTGTCCAGCATAAAGAACCTCGCTGTCTGCACGGGTGCCATTTGTTCCGCAGATCACCGATCCCACCGACATGAATCAACAACTCTGCAATTCACGAGAGACGATCTTCTCACACTGGTTTTCAAGTTCAAGCTCCACTTCCAAGGGTTTCAAGTCGGTTTTTCAAGTTTCGGTAGGCGCTTCCACCAGCCACTGTTAATATGTCCCCCTACCATGATTAAACTTCATTCAGGTAAGTATTTCTCCGCTGCTTCTGTTGTGGCAAATTCTCGATCTTTGGTTCAATTCTTCAAAGTCTGGTTCAGGTCTCAGAAGAAATCTTTCAGAGTCGAAGTTTCAGGTCTCAGAAGAATAACTTTATTGAGCAGTTCAACAAAGTGAGATGGTAGCTAGTCATCTGATTTTACAATGGTCAGTGCTCAAATCTTATACCTTTTTCTTATCGTTAGGTGTCCAATTAGCGCTCAACTTGTTATCTTTTCTCTCTTTGCTCCTCCTTATTACTTCGCCTCGATTAAAACACCTGCATCGTTATTTTATTTTTTAATTGGGGCAACCTTCTTTGCGCATGCGTATCTTTTAAAAATGGCTTTATACATGATTTTCAGGTACTTTTCCATGCCCTTTCACCCAGTTTCTTCTCCTGTCCTTAACCAACCTCCCCTCAGGCCTAGTTTTCTGTTCATCTCATATCCTTAGGCCTGGTTTTCTCCAATATTACAGCATTTAGACCTGGTTTTCTCTAGCATTACAGCATCTTATATTCAGACTCATGTATGAGATATGTATGAGACAAATGAAATTCCCCAACACTTCCTACACCAGCGGCAGAGTTCAAATTGGTGACTACGGTGACGTGGCGTGTTCTTAAAAACTGCTGATCTGCAGACTTCAACACAACATACTGCAATGCTTTAAACAGGAGGGCCGGATAGCTCACCTTAATTTCTGTCAGGACCACTATCGTCAAATACGATTGACAATTGGCATACAGTTAGGATTGGCGGTATGGTTCCGTTCTGGGCGAGAACTCCCTGCGCATCCATGCAGCCTAGCATGGATAAGAGCAGGGAGAGCAGCAATAACCCCCCTTAGGGTAACCAGAACTGAACCAACATGAATGTATTGCAGATATCATAAATTCAAGATTTTAAAATACAACATAATTCGAGAATTTATTCTGATTCAAGGGGATTCAGAATGCCAAATACTGACTGATGAGAGGAGGAGCTGGGGATGGTGGAGGGTAATTCGCTCCTGAGAAACGCGATAGCTGCTGATAATACTGAAAGAGCTTATATATGGATGCTGTAATAGGCGTCGTATTCCTATAGGTAGACGTGGATCAGCTGAGAGTCAGCTGATGCGAGCTTGACTAACGTGACCTGCCAGAACTGACACTACACTTGATGGTAATCTAATAATATCAGCGTCATCGATACCACGCTCACATGGGCAGTTTGCAAAATACCCACAACAACTGCTTAACTGTATAGAAATAAAATAAGCTTAAGAGTACTTAAGAGCTTTTTATTCATATGCCATATTCACAGGTCGCGCTCCTCATAATGTCTCCTCACTCACCAGTGTTCGGTAATGTTTAATAAAAAAACTAAAATAATAATAAAATAAACCATCTGAAAAAGGCTAAAAGCCTGAGCTAAAAGCCTGAGCTAACACTTTACATGTTGGCAGAGGTGTCAAGTAACGAAGTACAAATACTTCGTTACCTTACTTAAGTAGAAATTTTGGGTATCTATACTTTACTGGAGTAATTATTTTTCAGCCGACTTTTTACTTCTACTTCTTACATTTTTACGCAATTATCTGTACTTTCTACTCCTTACATTTTAAAAATAGCCTCGTTACTCCTATTACATTTCGGCTTGTTGTCATTCCGGCTTGTCATCGTTCAAAGAAATTACCAATAACACACACGGATAAAAGATCTGAGTCCCGCCTCCTGAACACACATCGCTAAACTGATTGGCTAAATCAGTGTCGGCTGCAAACATGTCTCCATCTCCGCTGTAAAGTGCGCTTTTAATAGAGAGAAATGCATCTTTCATGCGGATTAATCAGATGATATTTGCTATTCGATTTATTTTTTCGTTTAAAAGTGAACATATCAAGATATAGATATTTTTTCCATATATGTGAGACAGGCTATAGCCAACGCTGTTTCTGCTTATTTTTTTTGACGCGCTTCAGTTCACGGAGACCATGAAAGCGCGCGCCCTGATTGTTTTATTTTATTTTACGAAATCAAAACGTTTTCTTGTTATTGTGATTGCACACAAATAAAAGTATTGCGACTGATGCATTATTATTTTCTGTATGGCCAGACATGGAGTATTTTAAGTTGTTTCTTTCCACTGTTGATAGGAATATGCAAGTAGGCCTACCGGTAATTGCGTCGGCGCCTCCATGTCATGCGCGCGCTCCACACTCCGCACACACAATTGGTTATGCGCCTATAATAGCGAACAATTATCTATGTTAGAGTGAGCGGCCATGCCGGACGGATAATCCTATCCTCTTCATGTTTAACCAATCAAATCATGCATGTTCTACCGCGAGTCAGCGCTGCGCCAGTTTGAGAAAGGCGGGTGTAGCCTACAGGACCCTTTATAATGAACGTTTGGTGTAGGTCTATACGCATAAATATATCTGAACATCTTTGCCAAGCGCAAATCAGGACAGAAGTAATCAATAAATTATCGGGGAGGGTCATTCCTTTTTTCACAATCATTTTGGAGGGTCAAAATGTATTGCTGGCGAGGGGAGGGTCAAGTCTATTTTGACTATAGATCTCAAAACTCCTCCGGTGGCTCCTTAAATAAATAACGAACAGTCCCTTAACATGTTTTAATGTTTCAGACCCGATGGAAATGAAAGAGCAAAGACAAGAACTGAAGGTAAAGGTGATGATGCTGTCGTTTGTTTCAGCCTGTTGACACCAATAAAACGATTTAATGTGCCAATTTACTGAAGATCTCAGACATCACCATAATGAATGAGCTGAAAACAGGGAACTTTTGGAGACAAAGAGGTTTTTCAGCTGCTCAGTTAAACATGATGTTCCTGTCCTTTATAAATGCAGATTGGATAAAAACACAGTGATCACAGTTCACACCTGCAGTGAAGCCCCTCCCACAACAATTCACCAATAAATACTGGGAATATTCCCATCATCCTACAAGAGAAGGACAAACTTCAGGAGTAGCAGCTGAAATCTGTGTGACTGTTAAAGATGGAGTTTATTAAAGAGGAGATTGAAGACATGAGTGATCCAGAACCATCCAGAATAAAACATGAAGATACTGAGGAACAAATAGGTTGGTGTCCATTCTTGATTCTTCATTGTTGACTGCTTTGGTAGATGTGAATTAATAAGCAGTATGTGGATGATAAATGATATAGAAATGCATCTAAATGATCATAACCTTGTATATAGCAGTTGTCAAACATATTTTTACTATATTAACAATTGAATGACAGAACAAAAAGTGAAAGATCTGGGGTCTCATTTATAAAACTGTGCGTAGGATCCTTACTAAAAGTGTACGTGCGTCCGAAAGCCAAAAATGGCGTACACAAACAAATATTCAGACTTATAAAACCGTGCGTACAGCAGAACCTGCGCAGAATTCACTTTATAAATCCCAGTCAGCGGAAGATTGTGCACACGCGTCTCCTCCCCGAAACAACCATATATGGAGCTTACAACGCCTAGTTTTACTATGCATATCCTCATCTGCATATCATTTGCATATGATTATTCATCCACGTGATAACATGTTTAACGGTACAAGACATTTGGAAAATATGAAATACGGATGTGCCGTCACATTAGTTAGGCTACATTAATAAAAAATAATTTAGTAGCCTATATCCTTGCCTTGTTTTTGAATAAATAAATCAAATAGTGTAAAATACATTTCAGAGAAAGTTTTTCTCAATCTTTTCCACTGGCCAAAGAGTATTTTTAATTGATTTATATTTTTAATGGAAACATATAGACCTTGTAGTGCATTATTTGCACGAAAAGACAATCTGCTATTATCATGATAAGCAATTATCTCTGTAGTTAAAACATTAAAACACAGCATGCTAGAGGAAAAGTGTTTGAAAGCATTGCATATTTCTATTTATTGAATAAAAAAAAATGTTGTAACTTCTCAGCAATGATTTCATGTAATTTAAGTGTAACTCCATTAATCAGAATGGCATATTTAATCTAAATGTTTATATCAGAAGTAAAACATAGTTTTAATTATCTAAACTGTTATTGTGAACATATTTCACAGAACACTGTATTTATGATTATAATGAAGATTTACGGTTTTAGATAGGCTGCGTCAGTTTCACTAGAGAACAAAGGGATGGTCATTTAAAAAGGGATGGATGTTTGCTTCATGTGATAGGCTTGGTGAGTGAAATTATATTTGTATTATCTTTCTGTATACTATATGTATAATTTTCTTTAGATTTTCGGTCTAAAAGTGACCAAAAAGACATTTAGCTCCAGCTCACCATCGGTGTCGCCAAACTACTCCGTCTCCAAAATGTGCGTACGCACGGCTCAAAGTTTGCTTAAAGGTGCGCACATTCTCCCGTCAAGTTTGTTTTTTATAGATCACAACCGAAACTGGCGTACGTACGTTTCCAGCCCCGTTTTGTGCGTACGCACGCTTTATAAATGAGACCCCTGATCTCTTTTGCTTTCTGCTATTAAATAAGGGTTCACTTGAACTGATTCTAACTGTATTTCTGTGTATTTTAGACCAGGTGAGAGTGAAAGAGCAAAGACAAGAACTCAATGAAGTGGAGGAGGAACATCGTAACTTTACAATTCAAAGAACAAAAGCCAAAAAGACGCACACCTGCACTCAGTGTGGAAAGAGTTATTCTCATGCATCAGGTCTCAGTCGTCATATGCGCACACATCAGTGTGGTAAAAAGTTAATTTCACCATCACATCTAAAAAAACACCTGAAAGTTCATTTAGATGAGAGGCATTATGTGTGTTCTCTCTGTGGGAAGAGCTTTACTACATCTGAATATCTGAAACTGCACCAAAGAATTCATACTGGAGAAAAACCTTACAAGTGCTCATATTGTGACAAGAGTTTCACTCAGTCCGGAACCCTGAAATCACACGAGCGAGTTCATACTGGAGAGAAGCCGTACGACTGTACTCAGTGTGAGAAGAGTTATTCCAATGCATCAGGTCTCAAGTATCATCTGCGCATTCACTCTGGAGAAAAACCATTTAACTGTGATCAGTGTGCTAACGATTTTATTTCATCATCAAATCTAAAAAATCACCTGAAAGTTCATTCAGATGAGAAGCCTTATGTGTGTTCTCTCTGTGGAAAGAGTTTTTCATGTCTGGACAGTTTTAAACGGCACCAGAAAACACATAATGAAGTGAGAGATCATGTGTGTTGTGACTGTGGGAAGAGCTTTACTACATCTGATAATCTGAAACAGCACCAAAGAATTCATACTGGAGAAAAACCTCACAAGTGCTCATATTGTGACAAGAGTTTCACTCCTTCTGGATCTCTGAAATCACACGAGCGAGTTCACACTGGAGAGAAGCCGTACGACTGTACTCAGTGTGGGAAGAGTTTCACCCAATCAAGTAATCTAGTGACTCATATTAGAAAGCATTGTTCTGTGTCACAGTGAGCAAATGTTTTGTTAGATTCACATGAAGTAAATGTGTAGTTACTTAACTAATAAACTAGTGTTGCTGTGAATGCAGGGCCGGCTCTAACCCTTTGGTTGCCCTAGGCGATATTGAGTTTTGCGCCCCCCCCCAAACACCCCCCCCCCCCCCCCCCCCCCCCCCCCCAAAAAAAAAAATTATAAGTATTTATTAAACTAAACATGCTCTTATAGTTACTCAAAAACTTAAACAATAAATTGTTCATACAAATACTACAAAGACCGTTCAAGGATATTTATATCATAGTTGCATTGTACAACTATATTTTATCTGACCATAAATAACTTTTAGTAGATCAATTACAACTACTACCACCACTAGGCCTACTATTATTACAATCCATTGGTCTGCTACAAGGTTAAGGGGGTTTCGGGGGTATTTCCCCGTAAGAAAATTTCGTGCATTTTAATGTTAAATTCATCAATCTGGTGCACTTTGAGAGTTCAAAACTAAAAGCTCCAACCCATATTCAGTGTGCAAATTGAACAAAGAAACATTCAAACCTCTTTTAATTACAGTGTCTGTCTACATTACACTACTACATAATAATAGATATAATATTAATCCCATGACAGTAATTGCAATAGGCTATATTGTAAAACAAATGCACTGAAAAATAAAGGAAACTTTCATGAGTATTGTACAAATTTCTATACTTAAAAGTAAGTTATATATTTGGAAGTAACCCAGCGCCGCCAATTAAGCAAAACAAAACAAAACGAATAGGCCACCGATGTACGAGTTTTATGGGCCGTTAAGACAAAAATAGACAAATAAAAGTATGAGATCATGTATATATCGGCCCAAAAAGCACGTCGGGCCCGCGGGAATCTCCCGGTTGTCCCGATGGCCAGAATATTTGACACCTTAATGGATGAGATGAGAAGACTTACCTCTATACTGGGCTTTCTTTTTATCTAGTTGCTTTCTCCGTTTTCGTCCCTGTGCACCAGAGGGTTTAGACCGCTTCATTGTCGATCAGCGCGCGCAGCAGCCGAGCACTTGCCTAACGAGCACTTGCCCCCCCCCCCCCCCCCCCCCCCCCCTTTAGGCAATGATCGACAATAATCATCCATTCAATCTAATAATCAGGTTGACAAGTAATTAAACGTATGGCCGAGGGGCGCCCATGATCATGTTTAATAAACATGTTTTTGTTTCGCTTGTCATTGTAATTCTATGATTAATGGGAAGTAGGCCAAGGGCGACACTAGAGGGCGCCCGCGCCCCCAACACATTTGTCGCCCTAGGCAACCGCCTAGTTCGCCTATAGCAATCGCCGGCCCTGTGTGAATGCCACAAGTTTTGTGTTTTGTTGTTGAACAAGTTGAACAAGAAAATTATTGAAAATTATTTTAATTGAACGCTTACTCAAAGAAATAAGAAATCCCAATTTGAAAAGAGACTGGAAAGAAATGCAGAAAAACAACAACAATCAGTTATATGTTAATAAATTAAACAATTACCTGAATTTGATAATTTTTTTAATTGTAACATTTGCAAATTTGTTAACTACACTCACCGGCCACTTTATTAGGTACACCTGTCCAACTGCTCGTTAACACTTAATTTCTAAGCAGCCAATCACATGGCGGCAACTCAGTGCATTTAGGCATGTAGACATGGTCAAGACAATCTCCTGCAGTTCAAACCGAGCATCAGTATGGGGAAGAAAGGTGATTTGAGTGACTTTGAACGTGGCATGATTGTTGGTGCCAGAAGGGCTGGTCTGAGTATTTCAGAAACTGCTAATCTACTGGGATTTTCACGCACAACCATCTCTAGGGTTTACAGAGAATGGTCCGAAAAAGAAAAAACATCCAGTGAGCAGCAGTTCTGTGGGCGGAAATGCCTTGTTGATGCCAGAGGTCAGAGGAGAATGGCCAGACTGGTTCGAGCTGATAGAAGGGCAACAGTGACTCAAATAACCACCCGTTACAACCAAGGTGGGCAGAAGAGCATCTCTGAACGCACAGTACGTCGAACTTTGAGGCAGATGGGCTACAACAGCAGAAGACCCCACCGGGTACCACTCATCTCCACTACAAATAGGAAAAAGAGGCTACAATTTGCAAGAGCTCACCAAAATTGGACAGTTGAAGACTGGAAAAATGTTGCCTGGTCTGATGAGTCTCGATTTCTGTTGAGACATTCAGATGGTAGAGTCAGAATTTGGCGTAAACAGAATGAGAACATGGATCCATCATGCCTTGTTACCACTGAGCAGGCTGGTGGTGGTGGTGTAATGGTGTGGGGGATGTTTTCTTGGCACACTTTAGGCCCCTTAGTGCCAATTGGGCATCGTTTAAATGCCACGGCCTACCTGAGCATTGTTTCTGACCATGTCCATCCCTTTATGGCCACCATGTACCCATCCTCTGATGGCTACTTCCAGCAGGATAATGCACCATGGCACAAAGCTCGAATCATTTCAAATTGGTTTTCTTGAACATGACAATGAGTTCACTGTACTAAAATGGCCTCCACAGTCACCAGATCTCAATCCAATAGAGCATCTTTGGGATGTGGTGGAACGGGAGATTCGCATCATGGATGTGCAGCCGACAAATCTGCGGCAACTGTGTGATGCCATCATGTCAATATGGACCAAACTCCCTGAGGAATGCTTCCAGCACCTTGTTGAATCTATGCCACGAAGAATTGAGGCAGTTCTGAAGGCAAAAGGGGGTCCAACCCGTTACTAGCATGGGGTACCTAATAAAGTGGCCGGTGAGTGTATATCATTATACCGAAAATTCGGTATAGACATTTGGAAAAAGTTTTTGGGGCAGACCTGACCTGTTGAAAAGAGATTGTATTCATCCCTCCTGGGATGCTGCTGCTCTTCTCTCTTGTAATATGGCACATAGGGCCCTATTTTAACGATCTAAGTGCATGGTCCATGGACCCGACTATAGGCGCATATTACTAACACACGCTTTTTAAATTACAAAAAAATATTTCAGTTGCCTCAAAATAGCAACGCGCCATCAATGCGCCTGAACACACCTCGTTTTCAGACCAGCGGCGCAAATTCATTTGCTATTTAAACAACGTGGCGCTGGATGTGAAAACGATAACCGCTTCAGGCTGAAACTAACAAAAAAACACTTGCGTCGCGCCTGGCGCTGCATTGCACAGTGTGATTAGGGCACATAGTCTTAGAGTTGAACCTTGACTAACTGGGGCTCAGGTCTGGAAGCAGACAGACCGGCTAAACCGACCGTCTGTCTCACGTCACAGAAGTCAGACAAATCCCATCACATAGAGACTCTTTCAACTAGATATTATCACATTAATACTGGGTCTGTCCCCGAGATAGTAAACACAAAAAATTTCCAAACCCATTTACGGGTAAAAATGTTATTGATGTTCAACAAATTAAAAACAGATATAATTCAGATGAACAAATGACAAAGCTTGCGTTGCTGAATATTCAATCCATTTCTTCAAAAGCACTTATTGTAAATGATATGATTAGAGATCATAACCTAGATATGAAGCTCTAGCATAAGTTCTGCCGGGAAGACTCAAATCTTACGTCACTCATTACCTTCTCACCTATCCAATTGTGTTCTAATCCTTGTGGTATAAAAGATAGGTACTTACACATGTCTGAGTTCGCAGATGCTGACACTTCCATTTATGCTCTCGTTCAGTCGCCAACCTACATGTTTCAGGACACGCATATTGTTTGCGATTATCAAGTTCCGACGATGAATTCGTCCCGCCGTCTCTCCTGCTGCACGTCGCAGTTCCCGCATTTAGTGCCGCATCTCCCCATGGGCTCAGCGGTCTTCAGAGAGTTTGATCAGCCAAGGCCTCTCAAGAGAAGTCCTGCTCTTTCTTGGCCCAAAACACCCTGGGTAACCCATCAGTTTCCATTCCACATCACCAAAAGCCTCAACATCGTCAGCTCAGCCAAAATAATCCTCAACTTGTCCAGCATAAAGAACCTCGCTGTCTGCACGGGTGCCATTTGTTCCGCAGATCACCGATCCCACCGACATGAATCAACAACTCTGCAATTCACGAGAGACGATCTTCTCACACTGGTTTTCAAGTTCAAGCTCCACTTCCAAGGGTTTCAAGTCGGTTTTTCAAGTTTCGGTAGGCGCTTCCACCAGCCACTGTTAATATGTCCCCCTACCATGATTAAACTTCATTCAGGTAAGTATTTCTCCGCTGCTTCTGTTGTGGCAAATTCTCGATCTTTGGTTCAATTCTTCAAAGTCTGGTTCAGGTCTCAGAAGAAATCTTTCAGAGTCGAAGTTTCAGGTCTCAGAAGAATAACTTTATTGAGCAGTTCAACAAAGTGAGATGGTAGCTAGTCATCTGATTTTACAATGGTCAGTGCTCAAATCTTATACCTTTTTCTTATCGTTAGGTGTCCAATTAGCGCTCAACTTGTTATCTTTTCTCTCTTTGCTCCTCCTTATTACTTCGCCTCGATTAAAACACCTGCATCGTTATTTTATTTTTTAATTGGGGCAACCTTCTTTGCGCATGCGTATCTTTTAAAAATGGCTTTATACATGATTTTCAGGTACTTTTCCATGCCCTTTCACCCAGTTTCTTCTCCTGTCCTTAACCAACCTCCCCTCAGGCCTAGTTTTCTGTTCATCTCATATCCTTAGGCCTGGTTTTCTCCAATATTACAGCATTTAGACCTGGTTTTCTCTAGCATTACAGCATCTTATATTCAGACTCATGTATGAGATATGTATGAGACAAATGAAATTCCCCAACACTTCCTACACCAGCGGCAGAGTTCAAATTGGTGACTACGGTGACGTGGCGTGTTCTTAAAAACTGCTGATCTGCAGACTTCAACACAACATACTGCAATGCTTTAAACAGGAGGGCCGGATAGCTCACCTTAATTTCTGTCAGGACCACTATCGTCAAATACGATTGACAATTGGCATACAGTTAGGATTGGCGGTATGGTTCCGTTCTGGGCGAGAACTCCCTGCGCATCCATGCAGCCTAGCATGGATAAGAGCAGGGAGAGCAGCAATAACCCCCCTTAGGGTAACCAGAACTGAACCAACATGAATGTATTGCAGATATCATAAATTCAAGATTTTAAAATACAACATAATTCGAGAATTTATTCTGATTCAAGGGGATTCAGAATGCCAAATACTGACTAATGAGAGGAGGAGCTGGGGATGGTGGAGGGTAATTCGCTCCTGAGAAACGCGATAGCTGCTGATAATACTGAAAGAGCTTATATATGGATGCTGTAATAGGCGTCGTATTCCTATAGGTAGACGTGGATCAGCTGAGAGTCAGCTGATGCGAGCTTGACTAACGTGACCTGCCAGAACTGACACTACACTTGATGGTAATCTAATAATATCAGCGTCATCGATACCACGCTCACATGGGCAGTTTGCAAAATACCCACAACAACTGCTTAACTGTATAGAAATAAAATAAGCTTAAGAGTACTTAAGAGCTTTTTATTCATATGCCATATTCACAGGTCGCGCTCCTCATAATGTCTCCTCACTCACCAGTGTTCGGTAATGTTTAATAAAAAAACTAAAATAATAATAAAATAAACCATCTGAAAAAGGCTAAAAGCCTGAGCTAAAAGCCTGAGCTAACACTTTACATGTTGGCAGAGGTGTCAAGTAACGAAGTACAAATACTTCGTTACCTTACTTAAGTAGAAATTTTGGGTATCTATACTTTACTGGAGTAATTATTTTTCAGCCGACTTTTTACTTCTACTTCTTACATTTTTACGCAATTATCTGTACTTTCTACTCCTTACATTTTAAAAATAGCCTCGTTACTCCTATTACATTTCGGCTTGTTGTCATTCCGGCTTGTCATCGTTCAAAGAAATTACCAATAACACACACGGATAAAAGATCTGAGTCCCGCCTCCTGAACACACATCGCTAAACTGATTGGCTTTGTGTTTTCTTTCTAACTTGTGAGAGGCTGTAGTGAGTAAAGAGTATAGTTTTTGTCTGTCCCTTTGGATGCGGGCGGGCTGCTGCTCCCGGCACAGGGTCGGAGTTTCAACAGCTCGTTTTGCAGCTTTGATTACCTCTCACTGACAAATTTCAAAACTTTAGCTTTGTTCAACCGGAGTCAGACAAAGATGGAGAGACTCAAGAAATTCAACATGTAGACAACATTCCGAATGGTTAGTTGATGAATTATGTAGCTTATGCGTAGTTGTCATCTAGTCACTGATTAGCTTATTCTGTCTCGATATTAAATAAATCATGTTCCGTGGGCAGGATTTAAGTAAATTTAGGGTTTGTGATGCCACTAACCCGGGAGGGATGTAGTTCCTCTCAGTGTTGTTGTAGTCCTTAAAAAGCAATTTCTTAAATGAAATTCTTCCATTGCTTGAACTTTGAGCTTTGTAACTTTGCAGATGTTGTTTATCCTTAAACAGCCACATTACAAGCCAAAACAATCTCTGTTACTTTGATTTCCTATTATCACTGTAAAGCAGCTTTGGAACAATCTACATTGTTAAAAGCGCTATATAAATAAAGATGACTTGACTTGATATTACACACTAAGTTAGAAAAGAGAAATCCGTTCAACCACCCTTTTATTACCTCCCGTCCGCAACGGTCTCTATTTTTTTATTGTCATATTCAGTTTGTAGACGTGTTTTTTACAGCGTTCATGGCTCATGCATCCAGGGGAATTCACTTCAGGAGCTAAACACTCCGATCTTCCCCATGGTATTTTTCTGGTTTACGTTTCTCACCTAATTTCTTTACTCTTAAGATCTCTAAGAATGACTCTCAGGCTCTGGTATACAATTTCTAAAATTAGTGATAAATGCTGTCCCTTCTCATCTATGATTACATTTCTAAAAAAACTCCCCTCTATTTATCCTAACTAATGGAGCACCTCTCTCTAAAGCCTGGTTAAGGACTCTTCAGTTTCTGTCCTCAAAAGCTGCAGTCTATCTCCCTCCCAGTCTACTGGTCATTCCTTCAGGATCAGGGCTGCCTTTCCACAGCTGAACGTGGCATTTCTACTTCAGCTATCAAGATCCTGTGCAGATGGTCTTCCTCTGCATTAGAGTCATATATATAAGACCCGATTCAAAAATCATCCTCGAAGCTCAGCAGTGACGGTTCAGGTAAATACCTATGCAACTACTGGTGGTGGTGTTATGCTCTCCCATTATTCTGTCAATAGTCTCTAGCTTGCATTCTACAAATGGCCAATGAGTCATCGTCTATGTGTGGCCTAGTGGCCTTGTCTCAGTGTGGCCTTGTCTCTATGTGGCAGTAGTAGCCGTTGCGGTTTTGTACCATGTGGCCTTTATGGTCTTGAGAGAAAAATAAATAAAATAATAATAATGATAATGCAAGAGTATGATATATGTTCAGTGTGGTCTACTGTGACTGTGTAGCCTAATGTGGCCTTGTCCCGTGGTCTTGTGGACAGTTATGGCATTGGTTCTGTGTGGCCTAGTGGCTGTGTCTCGTTGGCCTTGTATCTCTGTGGCATTAGCAGCCTTGTGGCCCAGCGGGCCTTGTCTCTGTGTGGGTCTGAAGACCTTGTGGCACAATGTTGTCTTGTCCTGTATGTAAAAAATGGCCAGTGGTCTGTGGCCCTCAGTGGCTCGGTTCAGTGTGGCCTAGTGGTCGTTGTCTCTGTTCAACTTGTCTCAGTGTGGCCTTAGTGGCCTTGTGGCATATTGTTTGCCTGGTCCTTTGTGCCTTCGTGGCAGCGTAGCCCTCCGGGGCATAGGTTTTGTGTGGTCTCCCATGGCCTTGTGGCATATCGTTGCCTTGGCCTTTGTGCCTATCGCTGGCAGTATGGTCCTTCGGGGCTCAGGTTTTGTGTGGCCTAGTGGCCTTGTCTATGAGTGTTTTTGTTTCTGTGTGGCATTAGCAGCCTTGTGGCCCAGCGGGCCTTGTCTCTGTGTGGGTCTCAGGCCTTGTGGCACAATATTGCCTTGTCCTGTGTGTAAAAAATGGCCACTGGTCTGTGGCCCTTAGTGGCTCGGTCCAATGTGGCCTAGTGGCCATTGTTCTGTGTGGCTTGTTCCGTGTGGCCTATTGTGGCCTTGTGGCATATCGTTGCCTTGACATGTATGTAAAAAATGGCCAGTGGTCTCGTGGCCCTTAGCGGCATTGGTTCTATGTGGCCGTTGTCTGTGTGGTCAAGCGGCCTTGAGACATCGTTGCCTGTCCAGTCTTACTTCGTCTTCTATGTGGCATTAGAGGCCGTTGTGGCTGATCGCCAGCCTTGTCTCTGTGGTCTACTAAGGCCGTGTGGCCGTGCGGCCTTGTCTCTGTGGTCTGGCAAGGCCATGTGGCCTAGCGTAGCACTGCTCTGTGGTCACTATGGCCGGTTCTGTGTGGCCCAAGGTGGCCTCGTTCTGTGTGGTCAATCGCAGCCTTGTCTCTGTGTGGTCTATAATGGCTTCTGTTTCCAATGACCGTTCCTATGTACTAAGTTAGCCTCATTCTGAGTTCATGTTCACTATTCCACAACACTTGCTTACCTTCAACTCGTTCACAGGGAAACTGGTTTTGATCAGACGTAAGTGTGTCTCGAAACGTATCATAAGTCGCTTTGGATGAAAGCGTCAGCAATGGATTAATGCTTAACCTGTTAAAGAGCATATTGCAGGTTAAAAAAAAATTCTAAATTAATATATAACCTTGTATGAAAATACCATATGAAAAGGTAATGCAGGATTTAAAATGTTTTAAAACGACATAAGGGCACAAATTTAGTAGATAAAGTGAGCATTTCTTTGACTGCTCGTAAAAACCGTTTTTTTTCAACATCGCGTCATTTTACGTCACCAGAGGGAGGGAGCCTCAGCAGCGCAGATAGGTTTGTATGTACGAGCGGGTAAATTTGCTTTTTTATACTCAGAATCACAATTTGGAATGTAAAGAACAACATATTATACAGTTATTTGTTTTATTAGGAAAATACCATATACATAAAACGAATTGGGCTTTTTTTCACATTTTATAAATGACTTCACATTATATGTACATCTCTTGGAACAAACTAAAAACAAAAAAGCAATGAAAACATGTAATGCTTTGAAAGCACTGGATTTTATGTAAAACTTTTTTTGTATTTTTTATTTCCTGGCAGCTAATGTTAATGTGATATTGTGAATATGTAAAACCTCTTGTTCTTGTGGCATCGAATAAAAAAAAAAGTCAGTGAGAGCGGTCGTGAATCAGTGTTTTCGGTAGTTTTTGTATTTTAATTTATCATCGTCATGGTAAATTATTGTGTTTGTGGAGGTTGCAAAAACTCCGGCCTGTCAGGACATCGAGTCCACAGGTTTCCTAACAAGAAAAGGGACGGTGCTGTATATCTTTCGTGCCTGTGTGCGGTTTGTGCAGCTGTAGAGACAGGCTTTCTCTTCTGCATCGGCTTCGAAAAACGCGGTCGTGTGTAGCGTACACCAGATCGGAGGAACAAAAACGTGTATATCAGGAATGAAAATATCTATCTGTCTCTCGATGAGAAAACGCTAAGTTATATCATGTAACGTTAGTCTGGATGGATATAAGCTTTGATCAGGCGCGTATGTCATGCTCATTAATATCCATCCAGACTAACGTGTTCGAATTACGGGGGAGCTAAGGGGAGCTCGGCTCCCCTGAAAAGGACCGGGCTCCCCTGAAAGCCTACTTTGAGACATTTAGGGGGAGCTCTAAAACACTGTCCATTTTTTGTGTCGCATATAGATTTTGATTTTCTGTACATTAAGGTTCCTGAAATAAATGATGATATTAAAAATGTGTCAGTGTTTATTCGCTCATTACATTAATATTTCCGAACATCTGTCTCCACTAATAAATGCAATGCTGTGTCTCCTGCTGTGACCATCCATGCGTGGCGGCGCTGCACTGAAATTACTACGTTTACGTCACCGCTTGAACTTCTCACTGAGTTGGTATTTGAATGTTAGCTTAGCTTCAAGTTCAAAACATACTTTATTCGTTTTTTTGGGAACACTCTGTGGATACTAATAAGAACGTCAAAAAGAAAGCAGCCAAACCTCAGTCAATTTGGATTTACAAAACAAACGAAGAGGAGTGATGACAGCGCACCAGCTACAACTAGCTGTCGGTGTTACCGCCGCCGCCGCTAAAAGTTGCTGCTAGTGACAGCACCAGCACCGAGGATAGCGAGACTTGGGCGCCAGAAACCACCGCTGGTATGTGAGTTATACTGTTTTTATCATGATTTGCATGATGTAGGCCTAAGCTCGGTTGATTCAGAACCGTGGACAGAGCTGTTTGCCCTAACACTGACAACACTGACTGACGCTTGCATTTTGAAGTAAACGGTTTACTAAGTAAACAATAGGTTTACTGTAAACATATTGTTTTAAATGCCCGAACATGCACCAAAAGCGTTAAAGTCAGGGAGGATCGGAAAATAGGGCTCCCCCGAAAGCCACTTTGTAATTCGAACCCTGTTATAGTTTATTCTGTTATTGGTAAATTCCAATACTCCTAGATGACCAATAATAGCTTTGCTATTAACTGATATACGATGGTAATAATCTGTACAATATTGTGAGCACAATGTATATCGTTAGCGAACGTGTATATAGGCTATAAGTTAGCGGTGGTCTCTCACCACGACACCTGCCGTGGCGGCGTTTTAAATAGGCCTGCATTCCCCTCTGTGCATGTAGAACAACAACATTATCGAACGATATACACCTCACATTGATTTTACCAAACAGAATGAACGATGCACTATTAACTCTATTACACTATTAATTAAAACTCACAGTGAACAGCATTAAATATAAAAACACATATGCCTTACCTTTTTGTTGCAGTGCAGTTTTTATTGCAGTGGTATAATGGTTTGCCGACAGCACTATATAGTCCTCATTTTTTTATTCCTGCTTCCATTCTCCTGATTGCTATTATTTAATTTCTTCGTTAAAAAAACATCCAGGGAAGATTGAATAGGCCTGTTCTTTTAATGTTTACTCAGTATCTGACAGCTAGGCTAATCAAAAATAGCGTGATTAAGTGATGCAATAAACTGCGGCTGCACACTCACTCCACGCAAGTTTTTTTATAATAATACTTTTGCAATAATGTGTGTCTCCTCTGACCGTTGTTCTGTCTAACATTAATCCTGGCCTGTCCCTGCTCTCTCAGCAGCATAGCAGGCTCATAATTGTAAGGCTGTCGTCCGTGGTCTGTCATAGCAGTAAGTCCGAAATGTCATTGCGATCCATTGTTTTCCTGTTGTTTGAATGGTTTGAATCGACCGCTCTCCCGCCCGTTACGTCACGCCCGTCACGCCCATTTTCAGATGCGGAAGTAAAATTCTCTCACAAAAACGACTCCAGAAGCCAATGTAACGTTTTTTTCAGTATATTTTAAAGAAAATCTAATTACTACATTGTTTTTCTATACATTGACTCGTTGGGTCCTCTAACCTGCAATATGCCCTTTAAGCTTCACCAGTGCGCGGGCGCTCTGAAGCGTTTTTTTTTTTTAAATAGTTCAAAGTTACTATCATATTTAATGTTATTAACTTGACAAACTATACATAATTAAAAAGATATAAGACTCAAGTTTCAGTATTTGACCACTATTGTATTTTGAGAAACTTATAGTGACAGTTATGTCTTAATTTGTGTCAGGAGTTATGAAATTAAAAAACGAGTCGTTACCTTTAATGTGAATTATGAGCGTCAGCTGCTCTCATTCAGAAAAAAACTCCTGTGCGATCGTCATGACAGTGCTTGACAAAACAACGTCCCTCAGGGCTTTTAGCTCAAACATGTGCAGATTTGGAGAAATATTGATAGATTCTCATAGGTTTACATCAGATTTCTATAGACAGGAATAATATTTATTGAATTTATACCCAAATGCGTCGATGTAATCATTATGAGCGCGGCTGTATACTCTGATGTACTGTGTTTTCAATTCATACTGACAGTCTGGGGCGCTGTGTGTTCAGTAAAGTCCATTTATGGATCACATGAAGAAGAGCCATGACCATGTGACATTCCAGGAACTGCCTGACAACAAAGCTAACAGAGATTGCTGTAACATGCAGATAAAGATGTTCTCTTACGAGAGGTTCTCTCGTATTGCGTAAGCTAGCTTACGCTGCGGGAAAAATTCATCTTTGCTGAGATATTGAAGCCAAAAATTATTTCATAATTTGTATCCATACACAACGCAGTTCCTCTGCGGCAGACCTAGAGCAGGCTAGCTAGCAGCTCATTGGTTCGCTCAGAGAGAACTGCTTAAGCCTATGGGAGAGCGGGGCTGAACCCGCTTCCAATGAGAGGCGCCCGCGCGCTCATTGCGTCATGGCCCGCCAGAATGGGCGTGGCTATGGAGTATATAACAGTCTCTCCCAGGCTTATATGTTGATTCATTTCATCTTCAGCAAGCTGCACGCTTCTGCTGTCCTGAGAAAAGCCGTCGCCGTCGAAAAGGCATCTCTCTAGCGAGCTACCGGACCCTGAAGAAGCCGGCCGTCTTCGCCACCTTCAGCCGCCCTTGCAAGCTAGCGCCATCCGACGACTGTATCCTTCTCTATTATACCTAAAAGAGCCGAGCGTCTTTTTAAAGATGTCTCGTTTTTCCTGCGGCTCTTGCCGCGCTCGTCTCGAGGACGGAGACCGCCATGTCATCTGCGCTCTCTGCCTGGGACTCGAGCACGCAGAACTCGCCCTCGCGGATGGAGGATGCGATTTCTGTGAGAGCCTGCCATTGTCGTCCCTGCGGGCACGACTTCTGGCAGTGAAATCCGCTCCCGCGCCGCCTTCCTCTTCGCCGCGTAAGAAAAAACGCCGCTCCCAGAGGCCGCCGGAGCCCCCAGCGGAACAATGCGGGCCGCCGCCGCCTCCCGCTTCCCGCTCTCCCTCCCCGCCCCTGCCGGACATACAGTTGCCGCCGAGTGGCCGCTCTGTCGCTTCCGATGACGCCGCGGAGGAGAAGGACTCCTGTTCACTGCTCGCTTCTGACAGTGAAGAATGGTCATCTCTCGGATCCACGAGAGAATCGGCGGGGATCCGCGCCGGAATAGAGGAGGAACTAATGCGCCTCCTCGCACAGGCCGTCGAACGCCTCGGTCTCGAGTGGTCTCCTCCACCCGAGCAGGCCCCGAACCGGATGGACGGCAGCTTTTTTCATCGGCGCTCGACCCCCGCGTGCAACCGGGCCGCTCCATTCCTGCCTGAACTTCACGCAGAGCTGACGAAGTCCTGGAATGCCCCGCTCTCGGCTAGAAACCGCTCTGATATTTCCGCCTCGCTGCGCTCGGTGGACGGAGCCGCCGAGAAAGGCTACTCAGCCATGCCGCCCGTCGAGGACTTGGTCGCCGCACACCTCTGCCCGCC